TGCTGCCTTCCGACCAGGGCAACGCTGGAACGCTGGGCTACACAAAAGGGTGGACAGCCAGACGAAGGAGGGTTGGATCTGGGCGGTTTACTTGCCAGGTGCGTACAGACAAGGGGGCTGAGCTTGGCTGGATTCTGCGCCAGGTACAACAAAAGATGGAGATGGCGAGGTGGAAGACGAGAGGATCGCAACTGTTACGTTAGTATGGCAGTGGGTCAGTAGGAAGGGAGGTCGGAAGAGAAGAAGTTGAAGGCTGAGGGAAACATGGGTGCATTAAGGGACGAATGAACCTGGGCGGCCTGCTGCAAAAGGAGCATCCGGGCAAGAAGAGTGCAACAAGAGAGAAAACGGGTATGGCAAGGCAGAGAGGATGTAGCTCGCGCATCTCTAGATGGAACTAGAGGAGGTAGAGTGCTAGGTGAGGATTTAGAAGCAGGGTGAATCTGGGTATGTGATTAGATTTTGGAGTTGAGTAGGAGGAGAGGAGAAAGAGAGAAAACAAGTGCGCGAAAAAGTCAAGGCTAGAGAAGAGAGGGAAGAGCGGGAGTGAAGAACTGATATCTCGCTCGTTCCTCTACGGAATCGAGCAAGGTAAAGTGCTAATTTGGGGTTTTGGGCCAGGGCGAGTCGTTTAGTCGTGTTAGTTTTTGTGTTAGAGTGTCAGATTCGATGCTATGACACTCGGGGGCTGCGTGGGGCACGCGTGAAGTAGGCGAAACGGGGGAGAAGACGAGGACGGTGGTGAAGGAAGCGGGGAAACTGACGTAGGAAAAGTAGACTGCAGCATGTACTCTTCTTCACTGATATTTCTGTAGCGCCTGCTATCACAGTTGCCAGATATTGGTAGCGGAGATGATCGAAGTTGTTGTACTTTAGAGGTTGGTGATCTCATAGGGACACATTCTGCCCGAAGGGTTCTCACTCTAACGATTTAATTTGAGCCCCTTTCCCTTGGCTCCAGTGAATTTGGCAGAAATACATTTTCATGTACAACTTCTACAACGAATTTGAGGGAGAGGAAGGGTAGAAAAATACTTACAAAAAAAAAAAAAAAAAAAAGAGAATTGACGGTGAATCTTCCAATAGTCGAGTGAAAGATTCATCCTTGTGTTTGGTGGCAGGTGTGTGTTGGAGTGCAGTTTACCGTCTCATTCCAACCCCTTGGCATGGTTCCCATCAGCATCGGGTTATTTGCTCGGCTTGAGAGAGAGACCACGAGGATAGCAGGTTGGATCCTCTTGGGTCGTCATAGGTAGTATTCAACGTGCTCATTTTTTTTAATTATTATTATTATTATTATTTTTTTTTTCTAAGCGCGGGCTCCTGTCTCATGTTGCACGTTGGTAGGCTAATCAGTGGATTTGCAGACATGCCCTTGCTATCTCTAGTGGATCTGGTCAATCTTTTAGCCTTGGGAGTAAGACCGCATTGATTGATTGCAGTTGTCAAGATGCAGACCAGTTACCTCATGAACTATGGCTGAGGGTTATCCTCGTCTCAGGCTTAGAGCAGGTTTGGGCTGCTGCAAACGCGGGAGAGTGTCAATAAGTGCTGGTAACCCCAACAGGGCTCTGCTGTGAAGACTCCGAACGTATCCTAGTTGGCTGAGTTGGCCATTCTCTACGTAGTTCGCAGTAGGGGGATAGTGTTTGCAGCGCTGTTACGATAACCAGTGCACTCCGCTGCTGCAGGGAACTGCAAAGTGATAAGGTCACCTGACTAATGGGCTTGTGGTACCTACACCACGACCATTGCTGTGTGTCTCGCTGCTTGCCTCACCCGTGTTTTCAAACAACAACAAGCGCAGAGCTTGCCACAGGGTGCTGATGACAGATCTACAAGTAGGAGCTGCTACACAACTCAATAGACACGGGTGAACTAGGCTTTGATTACATGTAGCCCTTTATGGTTGTGCTTTTACTGCCGACTGCTTTCAGTAGGCAGCACAGACAACTTGTTGAGCACGCACACTGGAGTTTCGCGAGGCACCTGCTATGCCTCTCCCATATGCGCTGTTGGCATAGAGCCTTGCGTAAGAGCCTTGCTTTGCACTATTCTATGGCGCGAGGGGTGTTTTGTTGTGTAAGGGTGTGTCTCGTCCATATCTAAATAAGGGACGGTGAGGTGGTCGGTATCATCGGTAGGCTGAGAGGGTTTGCTTACTGGTTCAACGAGCTTACTGGGACTATTGCAACAACTGCCATTGCCGCTGGTTCGAGCGGCCAGTATACAGGCTGTGTGTTGGTGTGTTTTCGCTGAACTACTGCCGTGCAGCTCTACTGAGTACTGTATTGGCGGTGGATTGCTGTACTTGCTAGGCATCTTGCCTCGGACCGCTTGCGGGCTACCGTGGCGTTCAACAGTATGGTGGTTGCTGCGAGTTCTTGGTTACTGCGTTTGATACCGCTACGGCTGCTGAGTTTGTCTGCGCCATTACGCTGCATCTAGCTGTGTATCTGCTAAATGTTTACCGTACGCCCAAGGGGCTGGCTGCTGCTAAATCAAGTTGTCACTACATACAAACTGGGCGTTGTTACTGTGTGAGGCCTAGTTAATGTGTAAGGCACAGGTGGAACGCTGTTGCTCGGCTGGGCACTGTTTGGAGTACTATTGCTGCAGGGTCGTTACTGTGAGTCCAACGGTAGCTAGCCACTGCTGCGGAGGCTGTGTCGCTGCTGCGCCTTCTTAGCAGGCTACGGGTACGAGTTGTGTTGTGATGGACCGCTATTAAGCCTCTGGGGCATCAGTTACTGTCCGTTCTGTACTCCGTCAAAGTTGCCATTTCTTGCGGGGTACAGGACACTGTTTTTTTGCTCGAGGCTGTTGCGGAATCGGGCTGCCAATACACACAGGCTAGATGTTGTAACTCTGCTTTGTTGCTGTGCAGGGCGATGTCTATCGCTGCGCGCTGCTGCTGTGCGCACCGTATGCGGCTGCTGCTGCAGTTGGGAGGTTCATAAGGGGACTGTTAATTGGCGTTTTGGCCGTGAACTGAAGGGTTCTACTGCGTTATTTGTCCATCATTGTGGGGCCCTCAGGCGAGTCAAGGCTTCAAGGCCCTCTCACGCGAGTCTGAGAGCACCCATCTGAGAGTCTGACTTATTCTCTTTCTGCCTTTCTAAGTCTAGGTCTAGTCTCTTGGTGTCGAGAGGAAGGCGGCAGGCGGGATTGCAACCCGTAGGTCCGCGCAAAGGCCTCTGTGGGAGGTTGCCCCACCAATTGTGGGAGCTCTGTTGGAACCCAGGTGGGGTTCTGGAGGCAGGGAACTTCAGGTATAGCCTCGATAACCTGTGTGATCCCTTCCCCTAAAACTTTATCCTGAGCTATTTGGAATTAACTATGTGAAGCTATTACTTTTCTCTTTTCTTATGTATGTCAGGACATGCATTGTGAAGGCTAAAGGAACAAGTATATGAGAGATCAAATGTCTAATTGAGTGAATGCAGACAAAGTTGAACTGGGGGAAGGTGGGCTAAAGGTTGTATTGCATGTGTGGACTGGGTCAACCAAAGGCTGGACCCCTCTAGGTTGAGTGAGTTTGGTGCTGTGTTTATTTTATGCTTGTGAGACTGACTGTATGATTTTGAGGACTGGACCTACCCTAGGTCGGATGGACCAGCCGCTGTTTCCTTTTGGGGTTTCTGAACAGGAGGATGAGCGCCCTAGGTTGGGATGTGTCAGAATCCTGATGTTTCTTTTGTGGGTTGCTGAAAGCAGGGCTGGGGATATTCTAGGTTGCGTAAACCCAACTCTATGTATGTTTTTTCTGCGGGAACAAATGCGTAAGACCGAGCGTACCCTTAGGTCAGGGCGGCTCAGCCATAGACCATGAACAAAAGTGTCACCTTGAGTATAAAAGTTGGATATATGTACTATTGAACTTATATTTCTGACAGACCGGGCACCCTAGGTTGGGAAAGCCAATCAATAAGTCAGGTAGCATAAAAAGAAAAAAAAAACAAGTGAAGAGTAAAAGGAAGGTAACTCGGACAGGCTTAGCGTACCCTCAGGTTAGGGCGGCTTAGTCATATGTTTGTGATAACAAAAAGGGCAGAGAGTTAATATAAAACTTGTTTTTATTTTCCCTTCTAAACACAAAGCAGAGTCGGATGTCTCCCTAGGTTGGGTAGGTCTGACTATCTGCCTAAGAAGAATCTAGCCTGTGGGGGTGAGGAGCAGTTCTGAGTAAGGGGATTCTAGAAAGCAGCTGTACTGATACCTTGGAAGTAGGGGCCCAACCCTTCCCGTCGAACTGGCTTTGGGGGGATGGGCCTGGGTGTTTTTTGCATTTTTCTTTTCTTTTCTTGTTCTTTTTCTTTTTCTTTTTCTTTTTCTTTTTCTTTTTCTTTTTCTTTCTTTGTTTTGTGTTTTTTTTTTCTGAATTTTCGCACGATGAAAAAAGAAAATAGGTCTGCACTAGCTGTTGGTAAAGTTCCTAGCCTTTTGAACCTGGGCTTGGTTTGAGCCTTGGTTCAATTGGGCGGCGCTGAGGCTCGCAACGGCTACCATGTGGATTTTGTGACGGCGGTGTTCCTTTTGGTTTGAGTCGGCTAGAGTAGGAGGGACGGATAGGATAAAAGTGATTATTTGGAGCAGTGAGCTCCTCTTTGCTTGAGCAGTTGGACATAAGGGTAAAGCGCTGCGTGTGTTTTTACGAGGTGTGGCGAGGTGTTTCATGCTGTGATAAGTAAAGTCCAGAGATTCCTTGCATTTTGTGTATATGGCACTGGAGCTTGCCGATCGACCTTGCAGTACGCTTGGGATACGATTGGACAGCGCCGTCACTCTTGGATACTCCATGGTGATGTGCATATTACAATTATTACATTTAGTTGCTTTTAGTTGCCTTTTGCGTTTTAAGTTTTTCCCTTTCTCCACGGTATCAGTACGGTGCGAAGGCTTCTTCACGCTCGAACAGCGGCTTGGCGTCTGGGCTCGGCGGATTGTGTTCTTCTGGTGAGACTTCACAGGATCAGAACTCGGGTTGAAGTGCTGGCGCGTGAGGTGGTTGAGCGGGGGGTATGAGCCCATTGGGATGGTAGTGTACGCTAGTATACTCTGGAAGGTAGAAATGAGTAGGGAACTTAAGTGCGAAGCACGTCGTCTTGTCTCGTGCTTGGAGGTGATTGTATTGAGCGCATCTAGCGTGGTTGCTTGTATGGTGAGTATCGAGCGTGGTTTCCATAATACGGGGCGAGATTATTGGAGCGTGTGGTGGTGTGTGTAGATCTGGCGCGCTTCGGTATTTTAGATCCATTCGCGGAGGTACGGAAGCACACGGCGTTCGTATGATCAATCTCTCGTGGGTAATTGGAAATCTAGCTTGGTCGACAATTGCGCGATTGGGGGCGTGGTGCTGACTGCTTGGAAAATAACCTGTGTGAGTTAGAAGGCCGCTGCGAGGTGATTACGTGCCTGCTTCAAGCTGTTGCAACGTGGTCCTCGTGTTGTAGTAATTGGTCCGCATGCGGGCATATAACAGCGGAAGGGGTCGGGGACGCTGGTCAAATTGTGGTAGGTTCTGGATGGATAATACGGTGCCGGGAGCGCATCCACCTGCGCAACCACCATCGATCCCTCCCATCCAACCACCTATGATGAACTTCCCACAAGCGTACGTGGCGCCTCCACCCGCTTATGGCTTTGTTCCAGCACAGCAAGGGTTTGCTTAACCGATGCTTACGACACCCTGGGGATACCCTGGGCAGGCCGCTGTGCCCGGACAATCTGGTGGCCAATTCAACCAAGGATTCTGATGTGGCAATGGCGGTAATTACCAGCCACGTGCCTTCTTCACAAGAGAGCATGTTGATTTCATTGACAAGCTCAAATTCAAGGAAGCACTTGAGGAGGCCGTAAAGAAGGAACGGGAGGAGCTTGAGCGATTGAGGGGTAGTGCGAAGGAGGGTGATAACTCAAAAGAAAAAGGAAAAGAGATAGAAAAAAGTAAGGCGAAGGAAGCTGGGAAGAAACAGGGCGGTAGGGAAAAGGATAAAGGGAAGGGTAAAATGGTTGATGATGGTAAAGAAGATGCAATGAAAAAATGGGTAGGGGAGAATTTTGGTAATTCGTTGAGAATTCTGTCGGAGAAATTGGAGGAGGTGGACAGGCGGTCGAAACTCAATGATGGAGAGCTTGAGGAATTGAAGATGCTGAGAGTGGAGAAGGAACTAAGAGAGCTACGAGAGAATTCAAGTAGTGAAAAGAAAAGGAAAATGTCAATATCACCATTGAAACCCAGAGCAGGGAAGGTTAAGTCTCGATCTGGACTCTTGAAGAAGAACAGTCGAGGGGCAGCGCGGGAGCATGTCGTAGTTTCCTCTGATGATGAGAGCAAGGGTAGGGATGCTGTGGTCCAGAACCTGAGCAGCAGGTTGGACGCGCCAGGTGTTTCGAAACCTAGTGAGCTAACGGAGATAAAGGACCTGCTGAAGGTTGTACTGGCTGGAAAAGGACAAGGAGTGGCAAACGCTGGGGCTTCGTTTGGAAGTAACGCAGAAGGGAAGAAGGACAGTGGACAGGCAAACGGGTTGGCAAAGGACGCAGGGACGGAGAAGGAGCTGGGTAAGGAAAAGGAAGGGGGCTGCGATGAGGAATCGTTGGGACTATACTACAAGGACAGAGTGGTCCACTATGATTCGTTACACTACACGGAGGTGCAGCTGCTATGCAAAAGCAGAGGTCTCACGTACAAGCGGAAGGAAGCTGGCGTTTGGGAATTGACCCATCTGGACTTCGAAGAATACAGGGCATCTATGAAAAGAGAAGATGAGGAAAGCAAAGTAGAAGAGAAGAGTGAGGAGGATGAGGAGAAGAAGGACAGCAGTTCGGAATCTGATCATGACTCAGAGGCAGCCGTCGCGGGAAACTGATACAGGCTTCTAAGCGTTCCCTGCTGCGTGCATGCAGGAAACTGGCGGATCTGATTAGCAAACATGGGGCACTCGTTGAGAAGGAAGCGAGGACTATGTTGAAATTGCTTACCTTATTGTTGTGTCTGAAAGGGGAATTAAAATGGGGGCGGACGTATGTAAAATTTTGGAAAGATATGAGCAGGGAGGATTGGGATTCGCTTCTAACAGGGGAAAGTTGTGTTTATCTACTAATCTCACCTTTCTTTAAGCTTACTTACGTTGGCAAGACGGAAAGGGGGCTACAGACAAGATGGCAAGAGCACGTTCGGGCAGCCAACACTATGGATGCTGCCCCTAGGCAGAAAGTGCATCGATGGATGAATAAAATGGGCACGAAGTGCTATGTTGCTCTTCCCATTTGGTTTGGTAGCAAGGCTTCCCTCTTGAGTATGAAAAAATACATTATTGGTTGCATGAACCCAGGATTGAACGCAAAGAAAGCAAGAAAGAAATATTCACGACGTAAGGGCAGGAAACAATCAAAAGATGGGTTTGTTAATTCTTATCTAAAGAAAGCTATTTTGTTTGATTGTGTTGAATTGGGGTGTGTGGGTGAGCCGAGTTTGCTAAAAATACTAAAAAGAAGGCAGGATAAAACGAGGCTTACGATAAAAAATGGTAAGGGGGAGCAGTGGTTGAACTCATGGGGATTGATTAAGCTATTGTATGGTTTTAGTCTAGTTGAATTTGCTGGGAGGAAGTTATTGCTGAAGGATGTAAAACAGTTAATCCAAGAACGGGGTGAATGGCTTATCACTGATGTAAAGAAGACCAAGAACTGATCAGAGATAGCAAAAGCAGAAGTCATTGCTCTTTTAAGGGTTCCTTGGAAAAGGAAGTCATTGTATAAAAAGAATTTGAATGAACTGTTGGATTTAAACTCTGGTGTAAAGTTGTTAAATACGGTAAGAGGAAGGCAAATCACGCGTGATATCCTAACTAGGGTCACAAAAGGAGTCTTTGGCATCAACCCAAGTCACAGAATTACGGTAAAATTGTCGTACTGTGACACTGTCTGCAAAGGGAAACTACAAGTGATATATAAAAATTGGCTAAAAGATCGGATACAACCTAGTACTCTAGCTAATCTGTTGGTTGGCAGGATGAGACTGGTTTGGCAGAAGGCTAAATCAGTTGGAGATATCCTGCATAACTATAAGCGCTTCGCAAGAGGATGTGGCTGGACATGCACTTGTGAAGACGTTGACTTGCCCAAGATGAATGGGCATGTTCAGGTTAGGCTGGTGGAAATAAAGTGTATTCGAGATTTTGTACTCAATTCCAAGAACATTCCATATTCGGGTGAGACACTCACTGGGCAAGAGGTGACTTGGGCTTGTAATGAAGCATTGATACCACTAAAAAAAATGGGTTGTATGAACGAAGCTGAGAAATTCAGTTGTAAGCGGAGGGACTACAGTCTGAAGGGGGTACCCATCCCTGAAGGTTGTGTAAGATCTGAGTATGTGTTGGGGATTAGGAAAGCATTTGAGGGCCTAGTATTCTCGCCACTCGATCGAAAGTCTTGTATGAGAAAGCTATGGCTGATATCTACAATGAAAATCAGAACTACACAAAGGAGAGGAGGTCTGAGCAGGACATACTGAAGTGTCAGAGATTGCGGTATCGGGAGAGAAATCTGTGTCGTATTGCGCAATGGTATTACAAAGGAAAATTGCAACATTCCTATATCTTGTCAAAGGAAAAAGATGTAAGTAAAAAGAGGCCAATCGTCCCTTCTTTTGCTAATCCTGCAAAGACGGTTATGAGATACTTATCACAGGGTATTAACTTTTTGATCAAAAGACTGCGCTTATGTCATTTCAACATTGATGGGGCAGGGCAGTTAAAACGAAATCTTGAACTTGTTAACGAGACAGCAAATCGAAAGTTCGGGTTGAATTGTAAAATTGTGACAAGAACGTATGATGTTAAGGAGATGTTCACGCGCCTGCCACACCAAGAAATTATAAAAGTTGTCGAATGGTTTGTGCAACACTATAATGATCGTGGACACTACTGGATAAGACTGAAGACAAGAGGCAAGAAAGCTACGTTTGGTAGATCGCACGGTGAGATGGGTTGGAAATCAGTGAGACTGAGTGATCTCGTGGAACTGACAAGGTTCCAACTGGATAATACCTACTTCTATTCTATGACGCAGATACTTCGGCAGAGAATTGGAATTCCTATGGGAGGTAGGGCCAGCCCACCTTTGGCGAACATCCTCTGTATCTTCGCGGAACAACGGTTTTTAACTTCACTTGGGACGGACTCCCGATGTATACATGGAAATCGTTTCATTGATGATCTGCTGCTATTGGGATTGTATGACGGGAGAGATGGAAGCGGGTAAGCAAAGATCAATGAGATTCTTGATCGGATCATGGGGTGTTACCACAGGGACCTGGTGCTTGAGAGGACAGATGGTAACTGTGGTCTACTGGAATTTCTGGAAACTAGATTGATAGCAACAGACATGCCAGCTTGGATTCAGAGCATGCACAAATTTAAAAACATTGATATTTTGGACTGGGAGACCTGGAAGATTCAGAACATTGAGGAGCTTTGCTTCTTTTGCACCAAAAATCCAGAAATTTGCTACAGTTTCAAATTCGGTATGTCGGACCTTAGACAATTCGAATACCAAACTGATGCAGTGGTGGAGCTTGCTCACTTTTTTGAAGGAACTTCGGGTGCTCAACTTTCCATGGCAGACATTCACAGTAGGGTTAAAATGGGCCATGAGAAGGAGGAGCTCAGAGTTTTTGGGGAAAATGGTTCTGCAGTTATGCAGCTGGGGAAGATATGATACGGAAAGGGGGTGAATAAAAAGTGAAAAGAGAAAAGAGGAGGGAAGGAGGGTGGAACTTGGACAGGCTAGTGAATTAGCATAGAACATGCATCCATCCACTATGAGCCTGAGGGGGTGAGGAGCAGTTCTAAGTAAGGGGATGCCAGAAAGCAGTTGTACTGATACCTTGGAAGTAGGGGCCCAACCCTTCCCGTCGAACTGGTTTCGGGGGGG